ACTTCAATGTTGACGGGAGGCAGTCGACAGCCGCCCTGTTGGACTGGCTGTGAAGGAGGAAGGACTGTGGATGTGGCTAGTTGAGTATTGAGGTCACTGAGGCACAGCTCAAATACCCCATAGCATTCGCCGTATTTGTCACGAATGTCCGCTTGGATTTCTGGATCCTCGTCAGTCATCACCGCGGAGCAGGCCTTGTACTCGGCCTCGACGTCCGTCCACATGCTGAGGATTTGGCCACGACGGACCTCGGACAGAGAGGCGGATGGGGCGGCGGTGATGCGCTCTTCCAGGTGCGACAGTCAGCCAATAGCGGCGACCAATTTGGTCCGAGCGACTGAGGTGGCGGATTGAGCCATTGTGATGCAGTGGCGAGAGCTGCCGGGGCTGCTGACGAAGGAGCCTTTCGGATCTTGTTTGGTCACAGCTGGAACCTTAAGAGTGACAGGAGACGGAAATAGAACCGATTTGGTCCTTGCCGCAGGGCTGCTACTGGCTGCTCTCGGAGTGAGGGGTGCCTTGATTTTCTGAGTCGGCGTAGTTCCGGAGGCGGACGAGGTGCGTTGCCGGTTGGAAGAGGTCACAGGGAAAAGCTGGTTGCCGTCCTTGTGACCTGTTGGCATATTACGAACTCACACACGCACAGAAAATCGGATTTGGAAGGGACAGACTACTGATCTGAGTAGAATTCAAACGGAAAGACGCCAGGAAACAATGATTTGTTCGGATATATAACCCACTTATGGAAGGCTGCCAGGAAAAACGCCTCAAGCTTGTTGGAAAACAATAGTCGGGTTGACTCGGATTGTTTGAGATCACCGTGAAGTGAAATTTCTCAAACAATAAGTGACTTATATTGCGCTGAGCCGAGGAGAGGACCGGTCACACTGATTTTGGCAATATTTTGCAAACGGCTCCTCCGTTTACCTCTTTGCCGCAGTCGTGATCAGAACTGGGTTATTTGCGGATGGACGGCGGACGGAATGGCATTTATATCCTCGATAGCTGATTGGAATGGGCGATAGTTTGCTCTTTAAGTCGGTTTGGATCGACAAAGTGCAGATAAACCTAGTCGCCGTAAGCGTTAGCGGAAGCTACAGTCAAGAATATGACTGCGGAGTAAGCGCTGGAGAACTACCGGGAGAAATACCGAAGAAAAACAGAAAAAATCCAAAAAAGGAAGACGAAACGGTTTAAATTAGAAATCGTGGATAGTTCAATTTATTTCTTGTAGTGTCGGTGTGTTTGTTTGGAAATTGTCAGATAAGAGTAAGGTTTTATTTTTTTTTTTTTATCTAATTATTTTTGGTCGAACGCAAGACTCGGTTACGATACCGATATTTTTGGATTGCGCCACCTCTAATGCACGGAACAAAAAACAACAACAAAAGACCGAAACACCAATTTGCCAATTGGCAGTGGAAATTGCCAAATAATTATTATAAGTGCGCCGTGCCTTGGTCGCGAGTAATTTATTTGGAAAGTGGAGAATGTTGGAGTTGGGGTAGCGATCGTGAAAAGTGGCTGGAGTGCACGAATTGTACGAAATCGCGAATTTTATATTAAATTTGGCACTTGCGCGTAGTATGTATTTAGTATGGAGTGCGGTATTTAAATACGGAATGTGGTATATTTATGCGGGGTGTAGTATGTGTATGTACATATATAGTTGGCAATATGGAATATTGCGGCCAACTATGGAAATAAATGTATGTATGTATTTTTATTTTGTTTTTATATCATTTATTATTGGGTAACAGTAGGGTAACAGTAGATTATAACTAAGGGTGGAAAAAGGGGGGGTGGTGCCAGAAACCTGCGGTACTGCCGCGAAGCTTTGCTTCGCAGGGGACTGGCGGGTCGATTTAGACCCCTCCTTCGTTGCCGTTGCGCAGCCGCTCCAGCTCTCTCAGCTTCCGCATGACCTCTGATGCGTACTCAGATACTCGGGACCAGTAGTCTTCGCTGCGGAGCATCTCGCTCGTGAGGGCACCCGCGCTAAGCGAGTCTCCACCTATGTTCAACCGCTGCTCTGCGAACCTTGGGCAGGTGAAGAGTATATGCTCCGCGGTCTCCTCGACGCCGCACATCGGGCAGTTTGCGTCGTCGTCGTGCCCAAAGCTATGGAGGTAGCTTCTAAAGCAGCCGTGCCCGCTTAGGAGTTGGGTTAGCCAAAATTTGACTTCTCCATGCCTCCTGTTGACCCACCTACTGATGTCCGGAATTAGGGTATGAGTCCATCTTCCCTTTTGTGATGTGGCCCAGCGGTTCTGCCACCTAGCTAGGCTTCTTTCCCTCGCTGCCTATCTGCCGGGGAACGATGTTGAGCGGGAACGTCGAGCTCCAACGAGATTTCCCTAGCTTCCTCGGCTAGGTCCACCACTGGGAGCATTCCGGCGATGACTAGGGCCGCATCTTCCGAGATGGTTCGAAAGCCGCAGCAAACTCGCAGGGCTCCCAACCGGTGCGTCGCATCTAGCCCTTTCCTGTAGGACTTGATCCTCGCCGCCTCAGCCCAGATTGGGGCTGCGTACATCATGACCGCCTTTCGGACTGACTGAAGCAGGAGTCTGCGGCCTTGTTTGGGTCCCCTCGTGTTCAGCATCATGCGTGACAGGGCCCTGCCTAGGACTGCTGCCTTCTTGCTGGCTGCTTCGAGGTGCTCGCGGAAGGAGAGGCGAGTGTCCAGCAGTACCCCAAGGTAGCGGATTGCTCGCGAGGATGTGATCTCGACGGAGCCGACTCGCACCGTCGCAACCTCCACTTTCTTGCGGCTGGAAATCAACACCGCTTCCGTCCTGTGATCAGCCAGCCTTAGGCCTACTGATGTCAGCCACTCTTGGATCACGGCCACCGCTTGGTTGCACCTGGCCTCCACTTCTCCGAGGTGCTTGGCAACCACTACCAACGCGACGTCGTCTGCAAAGCCTATTGTCCGAGTTTCGGCAGGGAGCTGTAGCTTGAAGATAGCATCGTACATTACGTTCCAGAGGGTCGGGCCGAGGACAGAGCCTTAGGGAACGCCGCATGTGACCTGGTACTCCACGGTGCCGCAGTCGGTGTCGTACAGCAGCCTCCGGCTTCGAAAGTAGTCCTCGATAATGGCCACCAGGTAGTCTGGGATTCCCAGCCGCTTGAGGGACCTGAGGATGACGTCCCACCTCGCCGAATTGTGGGTGGGCCTCGATGCTGCAGATGATAGCGTTGTGGTCACTAGCCGTGTATGCGCTGCAGAGTCCCCACGCTGTTCTTCCAAAGAGAGCGGTGCTGCAGAAGGTAAGGTCGATGATAGATCCCAACCCAGCTCGGGAGAAGGTGTGCTCTGATCCGGTGTTGAGAAGTTGTAGCTCTAGAGTGTCAAAGGCTTCCATGAGAGTGCGACCTCTAGCGTTGGTGGACCTCGATCCCCATTCCTCTGACCAAGAGTTAAAGTCGCCGGCCATGATGATGTTTGGCCGTCCCCTAGCGTCGTCTGCTATCTCATCGAGAATGGCTCCGAACTCCTGGATAGATAGGCGTGGTGCCAGCTAGCAGCTGTACAGCCAAAACTGGCCAACCTTGGCTCTTACGTAGCCGTTTCCCCTGCGAACAGACTCAGCTTGGGGGGTGGAGTGCCCGCATACCCATATCGCTGCCGCTTTCGTGCTATCAAGAATGAAGTTGGTGTTGCTGGTTCTGCGGTATGGTTCGGAGAGAACTGCCACATCCGCTGTAGTTTCTCTGACTAGCTGGCAGAGTAGATTCTGCGCAGCTTCGCAGTGGTTCAGGTTTAGCTGCAGAAACCTCACTTTGGAAATAAATGTAGGTATGTGTATAGGTATAGGAATAAAACACGTTAAATTTAATTGTAGTTGCACTCGGAGTGTGCCAAGGTATATTTTTATTGGGGTGGGTCGTGCATCGTGCATAGATGTGTGTGTATGTACGCAAGCCGCTCTCATAGGCTGGAATGTGCGTACATACGTACGTACATATGCTCGGAATGCACTTTTTAATTAAATTCATTTTTAGTTATTTAATTTGTCCGCAAATCATGGACAGACACAAGGAATCGAAAAAACTACCGTATCACTGGTAGTTGGAGGTGAATGACGGGAAAACGGCCGGAATCGCCGATAATATGGCGGTGTCAAAAAAAGAAGTGACACAGATAACGGATGGCACAGAATGAAGAAATAAGTACATATATAAGAATATGAGAATATATGTACTTATATCGCGGAGCTCGGACTTTTCGGAAATTGGGAACACAAATCGCGAATGGAAGGGATTTGTGGCACACGAAAATCGTACTTATCTTAGGATCCTGGTCCGATGATCCTATTGGGCTTTGAGGTGGCTCAGAGGGGGCCTAGCTGAGGCCATCGGACGGGTCGCAGGTTGCGAACGGCCTACCCTAGTGGGGAGGTCAGCTGCGAATAAGCGGACATCCCAAAGAGAATCAACTAAGTTGGCTCTGAGGGAGAGTACCGGAAATAAGCAGTCCCGGACAGCCAGCGGGTGTTCGCGACGCAGCAACACTGACGATGCGCTTATGGTGCCGCCTCTCATTAAGTAGCTCACACACTCCCATCCCTACACATTACCTACCCACATCCCAGCCCCAACACTCACCTCACACCGGGCCGGACTAAGGTGTCACTCGACCCGTGCCAAGAGTCAGCCTGGCTGGGGGCCCGGTACAAAACTAGCCCAGTCGTGAACGGAGAGCTCAGAGACTTGGCAGCCCCTGTTCTAATTATGCCTTACCCGGGTAAAGTAGGGCTCTGCCGGGGTGGACCGTTCCCCTTCTCTGCAGCTCGTGGGAATCATTTGGAAAAATACACAAAATACAAAAAAGAAAACAAAAACGAGAAAGGCACTCACCAAATGCCGGCTGGGAAAAATTCCAAGCGGGAGAAGGCAGCGGCCCGAAGGCCTGGCCCGATCCGCTCAGATGCAGAAAAGACCTGCACGGTGGAAGACGCGGGTATGAACCATCCCAAATCTGGGATGGGTGGAAAGCTAACCACAGTTAGCCACCATGATCTTCTTGGAGGTCTTGCCGGACTGAGAGCCAAAAGATTCAATCTTCTTGACAATGTCCAAGCCCTCAACCACCTCGCCAAAGACAACATGCTTGTTGTCCAACCAAGCGGTCTTCACGGTGCAAACGAAGAACTGGGATCCATTGGTGTGGGCACCCGCATTGTCCATCGACAGAATGCCAGTGCCGGTGTGCTTCAGCTGGAAGCAATATTGCGTCTGCCCAACCTTCCGGTGAAGCTGCGGGTGATGGCTTGCCATCAACCAGTGTTCAAGCCAAAAAATTCAGCTATGCCGAAAAGAGGAGTGCTGGGCACATACTCCGTCGGCAGAACGCCAGCAAAGAAGTCAGTCCAACAGCAGACTGGCTGAAAAAGGTGGAATGGGCCTCGGCGGTGCTGCCCAACTTCAGTGTGGAGCCACAGAAGGTGGCTGCACAACCGAAAAGGCAGTGTTCGCAAGAGACGCCCGGACCTGCCGCGAAGCCCTCCAGAGTGCTACCGAACGTATCCTTCGCGCAGATTGCCAAGGAGAGGACACTGATAGGCGTAGTACCTAGAAGCCAATGGAAGTGGGTGGAAGCGGCACTGGCCAACCGCTGCTTCCGAGAAGGATCCTGGGCCACCTCCAGTCTGCAAAGACATGGGATGGTTCCAGGGAAGCATCAAAGTGGTAGCCTGCGAAGATGAGCGCTCCGTGAAGCTATACAAAGCTGCGGTGGCGCAAATCGGAGAAGTCTACGCTGGGGCGAAGCTCGTCGCTGTGGACTGGAGCGAGGTGCCCAGTAGACCAAGGGCCCGTATATGGGTGCCGGCCACTTTTAAGGAGCCCGAGCGGATCCTCACGATGTTGCAGAGATGCAACCCTACACTGCCAACCTCAGACTGGAAGGTGGTCAAAGTGGAGGCATCAAAGGGCCCCACAAATCAGGCAGTGGTAGTCCTAAATAAGGAATCGCTAGCCCCGATCGAGGCAGCCAAGGGAGAGCTCAACTTCGGGTTCAGCTCGGTGACCATGAAGGTCTACAAGTCGGATGCAGCGGCCGAGGCGCTTTCTGTCAACAACCCAGTTGAGCAGGACGTTGCCTCGGAGATCGAGGCACCCGAAGTAGACCCGGAGCCGGAGCCGGCCCTGGAGAGCTACTCCTCGGAGACGGAGCTGATGCTCGATTTTAAGGCGCTGTGTCGGGACGAGATCCTCGACGACTCTGACTCCGATATAACAGTGGTGGAGAATGACTCTAATGAAGTCTCTTAGGCTTCTGCAGATAAATCTCCACCACTGTAAAGCAGCATCCGCTGCCCTAATACTCCGCTTAGTCGCAAGCGGAGGGGACATAGTCCTAATCCAAGAGCCCTGGGTGGTAGGAGGCAGGGTCTGTGGATTAGCGACGAAGGACTACAAGCTGATTGTAGCCCAAACTGAAGGTAAAATTAGAACCTGCATACTAGCAAGAAAGCACCTAATTATCTTTCTGCTCCACAATTTTAGCAATGGCGACAACACGGCGGCTAGCCTAGAGCTACAAGGGACACGCCTGAACCTGGTGTCGTCCTACATGGCTCACGAGGAAAGCGATCCTCCCAGTGACCTCGTTCGCAAGATAGCCAGCGACAGCGAGAGGTCGGATACAAGCCTAATAATAGGCTGCGATGCCAACGCTCACCACACCCAATGGGGGAGCTCGGATACAAAAGTAAGGGGTGAGTCACTTTTCAGCTTCATCCTAAACTCCAACCTAATTATTGGTAATCGGGGTAATGACCCCACTTTCATCATAAAAAACCGTCAAGAGGTTATTGACCTCACTTTATTGTCTCACAAACTGTCAGACATAATGAAAAGTTGGAGAGTCCTAGAGGACCACTCCTTCTCCGACCACAGGTACATCGAGACAATCCTATCGCTCGAAAGCACCATACCCACTAACTATACTAATCCCAGGAAAGCCAACTGGGATACATATAGTGCAAAAATGGAGGAATTACTCCCCCCCCTAGCACCAAAATGCCCGGACACACAAGACGATCTTAATCGTCTTGTGGACAGTTTCACGGAAGCTTGCAATAAGGCCTTCATGGCAGCTTGCCCCTCAACCAAACCAAGAGGGTAAAAGAAACCCCCCTGGTGGTCTAAACATATAGATACCCTCCGGAAAGACTGCAGGACTCTCTTTAACAGAGCCAAAAGCAGCAGCGAGGAAGCGCACTGGGAAAATTACAAAAGTAAGCTAACCCTATACAAAAAAGAAACAAGGAGAGCAAAAAGGGCCTCTTGGCAAAAATTTTGCTCCGAAATTGAAGACACGTCAGAAGCCGCAAGGCTACGTAAGATCCTGTCAAAAACATCCCCCTCGGTGGGATATCTCAAGAGAACGGATGGTACGTGGATAAACTCTAGTGAGGACTCCCTACACATTCTACTCGATACTCATTTTCCTGGGTGTACGACCATCGAGCCGGCAGACACCCCAAGTGAAGGACCGGAAACCTCGATGGTGCACATCCACACAAAACGGAATATTAGCTGGGCAGTAAACAGCTTTAAATCCTTCAAATCGCCTGGCCCGGACCAAGTCATTCCGGCTCAGTTACAAAAAGCCGGGGACATGGCCATCAACTGGCTGCAAAGTATCTTCAGGAAGATACTGACAGTTGGAAAAATCCCCCCCGCTTGGCTAAAGGCTAAAATAGTCTTTATCCCCAAAGCAGGGAAACCCTCACACACAACCCCAAAAGACTTCAGACCAATAAGTCTATCGTCCTTTCTTCTCAAAACCTTTGAGAGACAAGTCGGGCTGCAGCTGAGGACAACCATAAATCCTCCGTGGCTGTCAGGCGCACAACATGCCTACCGAAAAGGAAAATCCACGGAAACGGCACTCCATGGAGTAATCTCGGCGGTAGAGAAATCTCTACACGTCAAAGAATACTCCTTAATCGCTTTCCTAGACATTGAGGGAGTTTTTAACAACGTCATACCAGGAGCCATCACAGAGGCCCTGACTGACCTGGGAGTGGATCGTCACTTGGTGGTGCTCATAGATCAATTGCTCACATGCAGGACGGTGACATCATCAATGGGATCGTATACGCAGTCAAGATATGTCAACAGAGGCACCCCGCAAGGTGGTGTCCTGTCTCCCCTTCTATGTAACATAGCAGTCAACAAGATTCTGTGTGACCTGGAAGGGGAGGGCTGCAAAGTGGTAGCATACGCGGACGACGTTGCCATTATCTTCTCGGGAAAATTCCCTGTCAGAATGGACAAAGTCGCGTGGACTGGGAGTTAATCCCTCTAAAACGGAACTTGTGTTGTTTACAACCAAATACAAAATCCTGTCTCTCAACCCCCCCAATACTAAACGGATGCAGGCTCTCCTTCAGCGACAGTGCCAGTTACTTAGGGTTGGTAATTGACAAAAAGCTTAGCTGGAACCTGAGCATCAAAGACAGAGTGAAGAAGGCTACGATAGCCCTCTACACTTGCAAGAAGGCCATTGGGCTAAAATGGGGCATGAACCCAAGAATAGTCCAATGGATATACCTAGCAATAGTAAGACCAATACTACTCTACGGAGTCGCAGTGTGGTGGCCTGCCCTATCTAAGGGGACCTTCACTAAACAACTGGGCAAGGTGCAGCGCACTGCAGCCCTATGCATCAGTGGAGCTCTGAGCACCACACCAAATTATGCGCTAAATGCTATCCTATGCCTGCAGGGCCTGGACCTTGCAGGTAAGGAGCAGACAGAAATGGCAGCAGTTCGTCTTAGAGACTCTGACCAATGGGTGTCACATCACACCGGCCATGCGTCCATCCTAAATGGAAACAAAATCGTCCCCAAAAAAACGGACTACTGCGTTCCGAGGGAGTATACAGATACCCCTTTCGTAACAATCATCCCTCACAGAACCAACTGGCTCGCGGGACCACCTGGCCCAGATGGAGCCATTCAAATCTTTACTGATGGCTCAAAGCTGGACAACAAAGTCGGAGGAGGAATCTACTCCGAACATCTGAATATGAGACACTCTTTTAGGCTCCCAGATCACTGCAGTGTCTTCCAAGCGGAAGTCATTGCGATCAGAGCTGCCTTCAGGAACGTGCCCCTACGGCAACTTATATAAATATCTATAGTGATAGCCAAGCTGCGATCAAATCGCTGAATGCGATAACAACAAGCTCGGCTACCGTGGCAAACTGTCGCAAATCTCTCCATGAGATGGCTTATCAGTTTGTCATCAGCCTAATATGGGTCCCGGGCCACCAGGACATTGAAGGCAACTGTATAGCAGACGAGCTGGCCAGATCTGGTACAACAATCCCCCTTCTCGATGATAAGGAGTATATTCGTATGCCAATGGCCACCTGCAAGCTCAAAATAAAAGAAAATTTTAAGGAACTAATAAATGACAGATGGCAAACAGTGCCACTATGTCACATAACTCGGCAAACACGGGCTAACATTACTAGGAAGCGCACCGATGAGCTTTGAAAACTCAGTAGGAGCAGGTGCAGCTCAGTCATACGCTCCCTTACGGGACATTGGCTAATAGGCACCCATGCTAACAGGCTGGGTGCCCCCTATAACGACTTCTGTCGGAGCTGTAGAGATGAGGACGAGAAGGAGACTGTGGAACATCTGTTCTGCTCCTGTCCGGCTCTCAGTAGAAGGAGACTTCAATACTTGGGTGCATCTTTCCTAATTGACATTTCGGACATTTCTACAAACAGTCCCAGACGGATCGCAGGCTTCATAAGGGCATCCGGATGGGACAATGGATAGTGTCTCACGAGGGAAGAGGGAACGATTTATGCGGTATCACAACGGGCCGAAGCCGGCCTAGGTGTGTCGGGTTTCTGACGATCCCGACAGTCGCCTCAACCTAACCTAACCTAACCTAGGATCCTGGTGGTAAAGGCGATGCCGTGCTCGAATGCTGGATATGGTTGGGGAAGGCGAAGTATATCCGGCTCGAAGGACCAATGTTTGAGCGTAGAGGCGTCTGGAAGTCCCGCTATTCTGAATTCAGAATTCAGAAATAAGACGTGGTGGTTCCAATTTCTTCTGTATATTCGTAGGTTTATTCACTTATATATATAAGGTTTAAGAGATCGCGTGCAAATAGACCGGCGTTTTGCTTGGGGTGAAAAAGCGACGGCTGTCGGCTGCGGGAGCGGGTGCGTGAGCGTGGGCGGGAGCGTGGGCGGGAGCGTAAGTGTGGTGAGTCTGAGAGCGCGAGAGCGCGTCACCGGGGGGAAAAACGCTCATAAG